TATCTACCCAAATATTATATTAGGGCTTGTTGAGTACACTCAAGGTCTTAATATAATAGATGAGATCTCAGCCCACTGGGAGTCAAGCATGGACTCCATAAATTTATGTGAGAGGATCATAAATTTTATTTAAACAGTGGGAGCATAATTAATTTAATAAAAGACCATATTAAATTAATTGATGCATTTTATATATTATTCTTTCCTTTTTGTCATTTATATTTATTGAATCTGAGTAACCATATGTTTTGAATAGCATACTAGATGCCAACAACCAACTTATATTTTCTTAATTAACACTGCAATTTGAGAATTGTTCTTATGCATGAGAAAATTGGTCAGATCCTTGAGTAGCCCTTTTCAGAGACACCTGCTGATGACTTGATTAAAGAAGAGGTGGCTACTATAGTAAACGCAGTGATGATAATAGTACTGCAACGTATGTGATACTTACAACTATGTCACTGAGTTACAAAAGCGACTTGAGAGTATTGATGCTAACACATAATTTTTCACTACAAAGAGTTGTATGATAATAATTGTGTGTGGAAGGATATGAGACTTCCAAACAACTATACCGGTGCAAAATGACAAAGTAATCTTCAATCGATATTTAGACATTGAAGATGATTGACGTTGAGAAATGTCTCAATTGAGTTCAATCAAAAACTATGAACAAAGTTATGAACTTGGTTCTGCAATCTCTATCAGAGAAAGCTATTCATAACTTATTATGAATTTAACGTGAATAAGCTCGAATGCAAAAATATTGAGTTGCTTAACATGCTTAGGACTGTTAACCCCTTTATCAAAGTTGGTAGTTGGCAAACCATTGATTCCTCTAAAGATATTAAGAGGAAGTCTAAAAGGGCTTTGTAAAAGCACCCAATATGGTTAAGACAGTATAAGCGAATGACAAATACCAAATCTAATGACCCTTGGTTTCATTATAGAATGAAAGGTCATTGGAAGGAATATTGCGTGACTTACGTCTACTTCACGAGTTTCTTAGGTATTTGATACCAGATGTAAATCTCATATTTATACAAATATGGAGAAACTAAAAAGAAGTAGACCACTGCGAAAGGGAAAAGTTGACATACACGTTGGAGGTGAGCAAAGGTTGCTACACTACATGTATGAATATACTTCTTACTATTGCCTTTTGGTTTAGTATTGGAATTAGAGAAATGTTGTTTTATGCCAACTATAGCTGGAACATTAAAATGAATTTCATGTTCGGACATGAACTATTTTAATATTAAGGACAATTGTTGTTCTTGTTTATCTTGTTAAAGATCCTAATGGCTATGGTAAGTTATAAAACGACATTTATATTCTTTAATACTAAAGATTCTATAATAAGTATAGAAATTATAAGGCATAAATACTATAATCTAATTATTACCAAAATCTGGCATGACAGACTTTGTCATTTAGATGAAATATAATTCCAAAGTTACATAAATATGTATACTTGGGATTAATTCATTTTGACAAGTACAAATTATGCATGTCTGGCACAATAACCAAATCTTCTTTTGCTTGAAAAGAAGAAAGGTCAGCATAATTACTGGTCTAATGCATAGTGATGCATATGGATTCATGTCAATCAATGTCAGGTAATGTTTCTCTTATTTCATCGATGATCAAGTATACTTGATGAAAACTCAAACATGAAACTCTTGAAAAGTTCAATGGATTCACTCTAGAATTAGAGAAACAAAGAGGTAAAGATACCTTCACATTAAGATTTGATCAAGTGAGAGTATCTTAAAGATAAAATGTAGATTATCTAAGAGAGAATGAGATTCTCGTGCAGTGGACTCCTTCATATACACTGCAGCAAGGTGATATATCTAAAAGGAGGAATCGTTAATTATTACATATAATGAGATTAATAACAAGCCATGCAAATTTCTCAAAATTGTTTTGAGGTCACGCATTGATTGCAGTGTGCAACACACTAAACCATGTCCCATCTAAATTGGTTAACGGAACTCCATACGAGTTATGGAAAGACACTAGTCCCAATTTATCTTATATGAAAGATTGGGGCCATGACGCTTATTTGAAGCACCTTAAATCGGATAAGTTTGAGATCGAATCTGATAAATACATATTTGTGGGATATTCAAATGAGACATTTGAATATAAATTTTATTATCATGAAGAAAGTTTTCGTCTCACGACATATCGTCTTCTTAAAGAAAATATTTACTATTGGAGAAGACAGTGGGAGTAAAATAGAATTTGAAAGAGTTCAAGAGTCCACAGATATAGTTAACCAAGTAGATAAATCCGAGTTTGATCCCATATCTGATATGGGACATACTTTGGATCAGGAAGTAAAGACTCATGAGGACATGACAACTCTATGTGAATTTAGTAGGATCATTCGACTTTCAAGAAGGTTCGCATCCATGATCATTAATCAGGTATTAGTGATTCAGGACAATGAACCTGCTAGTTGCAACAAAAATAAAGTCAAGTGTTGACTTAAAAGAGACAGCATGAGGCCATGATATTCGAGATGAACTCGACATATGTAAACAAGGTTTGGACCTTGGTTAAGCCTCCTGATGGAATAAAACCCATAAGGTTTTGTAAATAGTTTACAAGAGAAATGTCGATATGGAAGTGGATATCCATATATACAAAGCAAGGCTAGAAGCAAATGTTAAGTGTTGAACTTGGTGAAACTTTTCTCCTGTGACCTTGCTCAAGTCCATTCGGGTTTTATTTGCAACAGTTGCATATCGTAACTAAAGGTTAAGATAAGTCTCTATGGAGCTAAAATCTTCGATTTGATAGAAAAGTCAAAGCGTTTGATTTTATCAAATTTGAAGACGAATTGTGTATTTACAAGAAGATAGTGGGAGCATTGTCGTGTTCCTAATATTATAGAAAATGATATCCCTGTGTTTCAATTGTTGAAATAATGGTTGTTAAAGGATTTATTCATAACGAAATGGGATAAGCAACTTGATTTATAGAGGTAGATCTAGAAGATTGCTTAACTCATCCCAATTTACATAGATGAAATCTTGAGAAGATTTCATATGGAGAAACTGGTTTACTCTTAAGCGGTATGTTGGAAAGGTTCCAAACTTGAAGCAACCGTTGATTCAATAGTAGAAACCTAATACATGGTTACTTCAGAAGTAGCAAAGAGTTGCAATATGGATCATGATGTTCATAAATGAACTTGGAGTAGTTTCTGATATTGTTAATCACATATCATAGTATTGTGAGAACAATATAGCCATTGCGAAAGCACAGGAACTAAGGTCTCGTCAATAATCCAAACATGTATTAAGGCGGTATAATCTTGTCAGAGAGATAATACATAGAAATGACGTAAAGAGAAGAACAAATTTCCACATTTAGTGATATTGCAGATCCACTAATAAAGAGTTGTCGTAGTATAAATATGATCGTCATGTGGACTTATTATATTGGATACATAAGTGATTGGATCTAGTGCAAGTGGGAGTTTGTAAGTATTATGCCCTAGTTCCAATCAACTTTGGACATAAATACTTTTATATATAATTAATGCAATTAAATGGTGGATCTATTATTTAATTAATAGACAATTTAATAAATAATAGAGTTCGTAGATTCAAATCTTTGTAATTTGTTAATCACAAGGAGTTGTGATTATGAGATACAAATTACATCTGATTGAATCTTAAATCATCCATGGTCGTAAGTAATAACGAGATACGGATATCGTTATTACGGATAGACCATCACGTGTGGCATTTCTTACTTGTGAAGTAAGTAGCTGATTTCACAAGTTAAAGTGTGACGACACTTAAGTGAACATGTGGATATTTTGTTATAGAACAAAACATTGGAGACCCGTCGAGAGATTCCACATGGATAACTATCTGAGTGTCAGTGGTTAATCTTTAACGTTCAGTAGTGGAATTGGTCCTTTGACTTGAGGTCGTCATGGTACCTTATATGAGGACAGTCATACTTTGGCGGTGTTGAATGTTGCTCTGAAAAGGGCCGCTAATACGACATCGTTCGGGTACGTCAAGAATTGTATGAAGGTTTTGATTGATCAATAAAGGATTTGTCACTCTTAGATAGTAGCAGATTATGATCTGCGTTTCATTCGATTAAGTCAATGATGAAATCCTTGGCCAAGGTGTACTCATAAGTCGAAAAGGAGTTTTCAACTTATATTGACTTAATAGTGGAGTGAAAGATATGATTGATGATTGAGATTGACACAATTCCATATCTCTTAATTGATCGGATCATATTAACGACGGGATTATAGTTTCACGGTAAACGAACGAATTTGGTTTTGTCATACCACGTGACATTTTCCGTCATATGTATTATCCTAACACATTGCTAGATGTCAATCAGGGACGGCGAGTGTGAATTGACGATAAATTAAAAGGGTATTGTAATTTATCAATTTTGATTAGATCAAAATAATATTTCACATCGTTAGGTATCGTGGTCGGGAACCTAATGGATCGCACACAAAAGAGAATTGGAAGATTGCAAATTGTCAATTGGTTAATTTAACAATCGTTGGATAAATTAATTAATTGAATTTGTTATTTATATTGTCGAATTAATTAATTGGATTAATTAATTCACGGACCGTGTTTAATTAATTGGATTAATTAAATATTGGATCGGACTGGGCCGAGCCCATTTGGGTTTATATAAATACATGGCTAGGGTTTGAGGTCCATATATGGTTTTCATTATTCTTGTTGGCACAAGAGAAAACCCTAGAAGCTGCAATCTTATTCTCTGTGTGGATCACCATTGGAGGCTGGACAATTGAACAGCTGTGGTGGCGAATCTAGGTTGATGGAACGAAAAGAAAAGCAAAAGGATTGCAGATCTGGAAAAGGTACAATCTTATCACAATTTCTATCTAAACACAAAGACGATTCTTGGTGGGAATCGAAAATTATTTTAAATTCCGTTGTGCATGTATAAGTAGATTTCCAACAGGAATCAGAGTAGCATTGGAGCGTTGGGGATTAGGGGTTTGAAGAAAGATGGTATGAAACAAGGGAGATTGGGGTCGAAGGTATTAGAAGGGAAAAGTACTGAGAATGGACGGAACAATAGTGTTCTGAATGGTTCAAGAAAATCTAATGTTGAGTTTGAGAGTAACGCAAATGTGTGCTTTGTATGTGTGCCAAAATGACTTGTCTGGATGTAGCTCATGGTGTTAACCAATCATTGAATATGGGCACATAATATGCACGCATCAACTATCATTGATAAAAGGCCTCTGCAAATTCAAATTTCTATGGTTATCCAGTAGCTAAAACACGAAGATGAAGGATCGATAGCTATTTTTCATCTGCGTGGAAATTTAAATACGATTTCCAGCAATAGCAACTATTGTTGCTAATTTTGCGATCTTCCGGGATTCAGGTTTCTTTGTGTATTCTATAGTTTCACAATTCTACGGATACTGCACTTGTCTAGAAATTACTAACTATCTATACAGCACTATATTAGAAATTCTGAAAATTTGAGAACTCTGATCTAAGTAAACACTGCTGGTGATTTGGTTTTCCATTTTGTTTACGTTTGGTTGTTGACTTTTTGCATATGCCATATAAAAATGGCATTTAGAAAGTGTTTGATTTGTAATATGTTGGGGATTAGGAATTATATCATGATAAATTTGGTTTATTATCTTGATAGATTTTAGCCTTCCGTTTTTTATTATTTATCTTGGAACTTAGGAGCAAATCTTGAAGCATACAACAGGCATGATACTGGTGATAATTCTATGAAGCTTAAAGTAGTGTTTGGCAAGAATGACAAAATGACATTGAAATGGGCCACGTGTGCATATATGCAACTGTATCATGATTTTCCTTATTGTATTTAAGCAGGTAGCAGAGCCTCGGCAACTGTACAACTATTTCTTTTGCTCCACCTTAAGATTTACTGTATAATAGAAGATGCACTTCATTGGTTTCTGCACGAGAAATGTTGCCAAGGTACCGAGTATCAGCAAGTGGAATTTTTTCTAGAATTGAACGTATGTTAAACAAGATTTCAATTTTCTCTTCATTATACACCAGTTCTATCCAATTCACCCAACGCAGCATGGCAAAAAAATAAAGGGACAACGAGTCAGACTGTGAACTGTGATATAGTTGGAAGGGATATAAAGAGGAAAGGAAAGGAAGGGAAAAGAAAACCAGAATCCTTGCTTAGATAGAGAAGCAAAGTGGCTTTGTGTCTCATTCATTCAATTTTCCAGATGATTTGTTAAAGCATATGTTCCGAAGGCATCTCAACACATTTTCCTATTATTCTCATTCTCTAGAGAAAATATTGTATTTTTGCTTTCATCTAAATTAGGTACTACTTGACACCATTTGACTAAAGATTTTGCTCAATGAACAACAAACCATATGGTTAAATAACGTATAACGTTATGTTGAGATCATGCCAGTCATATTCAGATTCATTTTGCAAAATCACAGTACAATCTTTGCTATAGCACGCATGTTTGTGATAACGAAAAAGCATAGATTGACATTATGTAAATGAGTATTGTTATTTCTGAAGTTTGAACGATAACGTACATTTCATTTTTTATGTCACGGCAAGTAATGGTATAATATGTCCCACTAAATGTTACATAGATGGAACATGAAAAAAATAATTCTATACAGCAAGAATTCACTAATTGAAAGGTAAGAACACACGAATAAAACATAATCTATTATTTACAGAACATTAAAAAACACAGATTGAAAATTTATGAGATGAAAATTTCCTAAGCCTACTCCACTTTCATGATAATCGAGTTCATTAATATCGGCTTTAAGGCCCTTCTATGAAGTCTAAAAAGGCCAGTGGTGAATACTAAGTGGTTATACATGGTGAATACCATGTAGCCTATAGCAAACACTATAAAGTTTTAATATATCAATTTATTGATTTAAAAATAAAATAAAATTTGGGGCATCATATTGTAGGCTAAAAAAAGTTTAGCTAAGCCTAAAAAAGTTTCAAGACAAATTTTAGATAAATTTTATATGACTAAAACAAACGTATAGAAATCATAGATAAAGCATTCATTTACAGATTATGTGGAAACAGTACAAATGTGACATGTTAACTGCTATAAAACTAAAACATTTTTGTTACATATTGTATGAAAACAATTATCATGAACAAACAAAACATCGATGCTTATCAACTTGTGACAAGTTGGAAACGCATATGCCATATTGTAAAAACTTTGAAAAATGCCTGAGATTAGAAATATCCATGTAAAAAGTTCACTTTTGTTGATTTAACTAATTCTCGAGCCTATGAATTAGGGATTTACAGCGTGAATGGTGGGTTGATGGAGGAATTTGTTTAATTGAATTATAGAATCAATGGTGGGATTTGTTTGATTGAAAGGGGAGTGAGGTGTTTTCTTGATTATTATTATTTTAGTATTTTGGGAATAAAAAATATTGAATAGTAAAAACGGGAATTTTTCCGTAACAAGAGTGGCCATCTTAATTTTTACTATTGGAAATGATATAAAGTTGGGCTATGTTCTGGAATTTGTTAGAAATCGTTTAAAATTTGCATGAAGCCTTTCCCCATTTCATTTGCAGTGGAGGCCCAAACCAATCCTCTTATGACACTTATTTCCTGAACCAGAAATTATAAGTGGTGGCTTAAGTGGCACATAACTAGTGTGGTGGTGGTGGTGGTGGTGGTGGTGGTGGGAGAAGAAGACAGAGAAATGTTTTCTTTTTTAATTTTTAATTTAAATTATTTAGTTATGACTTGTTTGTATTTTTTTGAAATTTTTTAGACTACGGTTAAAATTAGTTCTTTATTTTTTTTCTTTTTGTTTTATTTAAATATAGTATATTCATCATTTCATAAGACTTTATTAAGATCATGAAAAGAAAGAGGGTCTTATGTACCTCAAATGTTATACAAGAGGATTTTTCGTTAAAATTAAAGAACAAAGGTATTCACAATCGAGGCTAGGTCATGCGAAATTTGCTTCAATAAACCTATTCCTTAAAGTAGTGTTTGGCAAGAATGACAAAATGAAATAGTTCAGTGAAGCTTAAAGCAGTGTTTGGCAAGAACATCAAAATGAAATAGAAATGGGCCACGTGTGCATATGTGCAACCGTATCATGATTTTCTTTATTGTATTTAAGCAGAGAGCATAGCCTCGACAACTGTACAACCATTTCTTTTGCTCTACATTATGATATACTATACAATAGGAGATGCATTTCAATTATTTTCTGCACTAGAAACACTGGAAGGGTACTATGTACCAATAACTGAAATTTTTGCATATAATGGTATGTTGAGATCATGTCAATCATATTCAGATTCATTAAACAGAATCATAATACAATCTTTACTATAGCATGCATGTGTATGATAACGAAAACCATACGTGAAACTGCATAGATTGACATCACATAAATGAGTATTGTTATTTGTGATGTTCGCACAATAAGATACATTTTATTTTTAAAATCAAACATGGCAAGTAACGGTATAAATACGTCCCACATAGATGGATTATGGAAAAATTAATTCTATGCAACAAGAATTCACTAATTGAAAGGTAAGAAACAAGAACATGACATGATCTATCATATACTGAACGTTAAAAAACATAGATTAAAGATTTACAAGATGAAAATTTACTAAGCCTACTCCACTTTCATGATAAACGAGTTATTAAAATCAGCTTTGAGGCCCTCTATGAAGCCTAAAAAAGCCAGTGGTGAACATTAAGTGGTTATACATGGTGAATACCACGAATCCTATAACAAACACCTTAAAGCCTTCATCTATCAATTTATTCATTTAAAAAAAATAAAAATTAGGAGCATCATGATGCAGCTAAACATATTTCAACTAAGCCTAAAAGAAGTTCAAGACGAACATCAGATAAATTGTATATGATTGAAACAAACGTATAAAAATCATTGATAAAGAATTCATGTACGGTACGGGTTGTGTGGAAACAATACTAATATGATATCTTAACTGCTATAAAACTTAAACATTTTTTTTTACATACTGTACGAAAACAATTATAAAGAACAAACAAAACATTGATTCTTATCAACTTGTGAGAAGTTAAAAATGCATACACTATATTGTAAAAATTTTGAAAAATGCCTCAAATTAGAAATGTCCACGTAAAAAGTTCATTTTTGTTGATTTAACTAATTATCGAGCCTATGAATCTGGGTTTTATAGCGTGAATGGTGGGTTAATGTTAAGTATTTTTGGAATAAAAAATATTGAATAGTAAAAACGGGAATTTTTACGCAACAAGAGTGGCCATCATGATTTCCACTATTGGAAATGATATAAAGTTGGGCTTTGTTCTGGAATTTGTTAGAAATCGTTCAAAATTTTCCTGAAGCCTTTCCCCATGTCATAGGCAATGGGAGGCCCAAACCAATCCTCTTAAGATGCCCATTTCCTGAACCAGAAATTATAATTGGTGGCTTAAGTGGCACATAACTAGTGTGGTGGTGGTGATGGTGGTGAAATGATGGGAGAGAAATAAATTTTTTTTTAAATTCTTAATTTAAATTATATATTAATGACTCGTTTTTACGATTATTAAAATTTTTAGACTACAGTTAAAATTAGTTCTTTATTTTTCTCCTTTGTGTTTTATTTAAATATAGGGGTATCTTCGTCATTTCACAAGACTTTATTGAAAAAATGAAAGGAAAGAGAGTCTTATGCACCTCAAATGTCATATACGAGAATTTCCATCGAAAGGAAATAATAATATGGGTATTCACAATAGAGACAAAAGTCGTGGAGTTTTGCATCAAAGAACCTATTCCTTATAATGACTTGGATTTGCTGGTGACATGTTCTTATATTTGTTGCTGGGTTAATTATATGAATGATCACTAAACTTTGCCCTATGTTACTATTTAGTCAATGAATTTAAAAATGTAACTCAATGGTCATTGAATTTCATCAAGTTTTACTACTTCATAACTGAACTTTAAAATGTATCTCAATGGTCACCGAATTTTGCACCGTGTCACCTATCCGTCACTCAAATGGAAAAATTCGTTAAGTCCAACAAACGGCGTCAACTTGAGTGACGGATGGATAACACGGTGCAAAGTTCGGTAACCATTGAGATACGTTTTAAAGTTCGATTAGGAGTAGTAACACTTGAAAAAGTTCAGTAACCATTGAGTTACGTTTTTAAGTTCAGTAACTAAGTAATAACATAAGATAAAGTTCAGTGACCATTAAGATATAGTTTTAAATTGAATTATTAAGCCTTTGTTTGAGTCCCATTCTTTCCAAAAAAAAAAAAGAATACATTCTTAAATAGTGATTTGATATCATTTAACCATACATTCTTCAATAAATAATACTATATGTAAATTCAAAATTTTTCCTTATTTTTTAACTACACATTTTCCATTAATATACTATTCAAAAATTCATTTTATCCCTCAAAATGGGGATCAAACAAGGGCTAAGGTCCTCAAATTGACCTCTATGATAGAAGAAATCAAAGAAAATGAAGGGAAAAAAGAGGAAACAGAAAATTAGAGACCTATAAATTAAATAAAAATAGAATTGTTGCTAATATTCATCCATCACGATGAAAAAGTACGTTTTATTTTTAGATCAACTGGTATCAGTTCACCGTATCTCAAATTCCGCATAAATAGATTGAAAGAGAAACAATTGGAACAATAAAAGGAATTGACAAATAAAAAATTAAATAAAAGTACAAAAACGTTCGAATAGTGCCAATGTAACTAAGGTCGATTTGATTTTTCAACTATGTTACTACTTAGTCACTGAACTTAAAAACGTAACTCAATAGTGACTGAATTTCGCCAAGTATTACTACTTCATAATCGAACTTTAAAATGTATCTCAATGGTCACCGAATTTTGCACTGTGTTATCCATTCGTCACTCAAATTGACATCGTTTGTTGGACTTAACGGATTTTTTCATTTGAGTGACGGATGGATAACACGGTGCAAAGTTTGGTAACCATTGAGATACATTTTAAAGTTCGATTATGAAGTAGTAACACTTGGCGAAGTTCAGTGACCATTGAATTACGTTTTTAAGTTCAGTGATTAAGTAGTAACATATGACAAAGTTCAGTGATCATTCATATAATTAACCCATTTGTTGCTCGACTGATCTGTTTTGCATTGTTAATAATTGTCCCAATTTTCTTCTAAATCGTTATGCTTATTAGAGTTGACGCCATATTTGTAGTAAATACCCAATTTTCTTGTAGGTTTCCTATCACAGCAAAAAGAGAGAGAAGAATAAAAATTTGCCTTTCCCATTGGAGTCTTTGCGCGTGGGGCCAAAATGGCCTTGCTCGTGTTTCACATGATTGGATTATTTTAATCGTAACTCCTTTTGATGTAATGTAATTATGAGAA